TTTTTTTTTTTTTTTTTTTTTTTTTTTTTTTTTTTTTTTTTTTTTTTTTTTTTTTTTTTTTTTTAAGAAAAGAACGAGCTTTCACTGAAAAAAAGGAAAGAATACAAGAACATACAAAAAAACAAGCCCACAAAAGGAAGTCCCATTAAAGGAGGGGACTCGAACCCAGTAAGACTACATAAAGAGTACTTAAGAAAAAAAAAGGTATCATTGATGCCCCAAGAGAAACATTGAACCTCGTCAGTGACCACACTTCAAAAGGGTCTCTCTCAACTTCCAAAAAGATTCTATTGTTTCTCTCACTCAAAAATCCCACAACAGAGCACACAAGCCCGCTTGCTTTAAAAACCTCCTCTTCTCATGAAAAGGCAAATGGAGGAGGAATTTCTCAATCAACTCTTTTCAACATCTTTGCCTGGCCACCAATAACCAATTGCCTCGAAGAAAAAATCACAAACAGACTGCACAAAATTGCATCCTCCACAAGACTAGGTCTTCCTTCACCTTTCGATATTGAATGCAACAAACGAACCAACTAATGAAGGCATCTTCCTTACAAGTCTATCAAGAGTATTCACACTTCCATGGATAACCTGCTAGGTGAAGAACTCGAGCTTATTTGGAACTTTAAGTTCCCACAAATGAGGGGAAATAGACTCATAACAAAGAGAAGGATTAAGCGACCAATTAAAGAACGAGGTATAAGAAAAGCCCTTGGACAGGCTAAGACACCAACAACGAAAATTCCTCCTCCCAAGCCTGAACGCGAGCTCTTCAATCAAAGAAAGAAGAGTCAAAAGATATGTCGTCTCCCTATCAGACAATGCATGAAGAAACCCAAAAAAATAAAAATAAATAAATAAATAATAAAGAGGTCCCATTAAAAGGCAAAACATTAGTCACACGACAACTTTTCATAGAAGATAAGTGATATAAAGTAGAAAACGTAAAGCAAGGCAATCCCCCGACCCCTTGTCTTCCCAAAAATACGTTTCCTTCCCTCACCCACCACACAAAGAAATAAATCAGAGAGAAAAGGAAGCTCCAAGGCTGTTTCTTTCCAAGGATTTTTAAGATTACCTTTAACCCCACCCAACAACCAATCAAACGAATGGGACCGTATTTACTCAAAAAGATACTACACAAAAGGGAATTAGACTTGAGAGGGAACCACCTAAGCAATTTACCTAACAGCTCTATTTTGAACCCTAAGATTCCCAAGTTCTAAGCCACCAAGGCTCACTGGTTTCTCCACTAACTCCCAACTCACTACATGCACTCTTTCCTCGTCAACCCCTTCCCATAGGAAATCTTGTATCAACCTCTCAAGGCTCTGACTAACCCTTCAAGGCACTAAAAAGGGAAAGGATGTAAACTAGGATTCCGTTAAGCACTGAACTATTAAGGGTCATCCTACCCCTTTAGAGAAGAAGCAACGTTTTCAAGAAGCAATCTTTTTCTAATCTTGTCAACAACAGAATCTCAAAAAGAACGGTTTCTAGGATTACTTCCTAAAGGGAAGCCTAAATAAGAGGTAGGGAAGATATCAATATCATACCCCACTAGCATTGCCCATTGCCCCAACTTCTCAGGATCACAGTTTAAATCCAACAATTAAAACTTACCCCTATTGATCTTAAGCCCCAACGAAGCCTCCAAAAACCAAGCATGTAGTTTAACACAAGAAATGACTCCTCCTTGCCCGAGCAAAAGAAGATTATTTTGTCTGCGAATTGAAAATGAGAAAGTGACACCTTTCCCACTCCCACCTCGAAACCCTCAAGGATCCCTCCTTCAACACCTTTGGAAACCATCCTGTTAAGATCATCCACAACAAACAGAAAAAGAAGGAAACAAAGGGTCACCTTGCCTAAGACCTCTCAAAACTCTAATACTACGATGACCATTAATAAGAAACGAATACTTAACGAATCTAGTGCAACTCCAAATTATCTTCATACCTGCCCAATTATCTTGAAAAAAACCCAAAGAGAACCCATTAGAACTAGGGGTCTCACTCCCATCACAATCAAAGACTTCCTTCGTTATTTCTCCCAGCGAAAAAAGGGCCTTGAAAATTCACATTTAGAGTCTTGGAGAAAGGAGACCAATCAAACCCTTCAATGAAAGGCCTATTACTTGCTCCCGGATTGTACAGAACAAAAAGGAAAGAGAATTTCCTCCTTGAATTCCTTCCCCTTTAACCACATCCCTCAGTCATTCTCCAAAGAACTGATAAAATTTTTGCTTCTCTACCGTTTACCGAACGATGGAAAAAAGTTGGATTACAATCCCCTTCACCAGCCCAACTAACCTTGGCTCTCTGCCTCCAGCTAGTAGCTTTTTTCCTGACCACATCTGAACTCTGCTTTTAAAGAAAACCTTTCCTCTATAAGATATGTTGAAAGTAGGCCCTCCACTTCGAGCCCATCAATAATATTTAGCCTACTTAAAACTTCCTATTTCATTAATTTGATATTCCCAAACACTCCCCTACAAAACTGAGCACCCTTTTAAGGGTCCTCAACTTACCCATAACACAATATCCCTCCCAATTGTGAGGAACATCCACATTCCACCAAGAAGGAAAGGAAGCCTTAAAGGAGGGATGGACCAATCACATATTCTCAAAACGAAACAGACAAGGACCCCATTCACTGTCCCCGATGACATAATAAAAGGTGAATGGTTCAAAGTCACTCTAGACCCTAACAGTTGTCTCACACTCAACATAGCGACATCCCTTTCTGGAAGACAGCCGAGTCCCCCGTCTTTTGTACCGTTCTCAAGTCCCTGAACTTACGAAGTTTTGTTTCTATGGTAGACCAATTTGTTAACATTCCTCAATCCTTTTTTTTTTTTATTAACATAAGGGGTCAAATCAATATGTTCAAAGAAGAAAGATTGAGAATATCGATCTTATCATTCGTTCAATTCTTGGGGGATGAATATGTAGAATAGAGGATTTCAATACTGGCAAGAAAGGGAGGGAAACGGACAAGGTTTTGATTTCTCTATTTTTTTTTTTTTTTTAATAGGATCTCATTTTGTTGTGGAAGTGTAACAACAGGTGTATTGTCTTAATAAATAAGATAGGCCTTTATCAAATTTTATCTTTTAGCATATTTTATATATAGATTGAACAAGCTCATAAAAAATAAAATCATAATGAATAAAGGAAAATTCTTCCAAATAGGTTTTTGAATGATGAACAAATATGCATGCATTCACTCATGGGACGAACTGTCTCGTGATTTGCTTTGGAACCACACAATTAGAATTAGATTCGTTGAACTAAAATGTGTATCATCCAAATAGGAGATCTTTCAATGGAGAAGAACTGTGAACTTATAAATTCCTAACCCTAACCCATTCCCATTTTAGATGGAACAAATAAACTATTTTTTATTCCAATTAGTAAGAGGGACCTTGAACTAAGAAGTAGATTCTACTTTGTGAAATGAAACTCTATTCTTTAATTATCTCACTATAAATTCTGCAAAAATATTAGGGTGTCCATAAGGGTTTCCTATTCTTATAATAACGATGTTGTGTTTTTTATTCACAGAATTTAATTCTTTTTGTACTCTTGTTTGTAATTCTTCAATTTTTCGAGAAGCCAAAATAAATCTAAGGAGAATGTTGGGAATAATTATCTTGATATGTTGCTTTTGTAGACTAGTATAGGATAAAAATTTATCATTTGGCCCTAAATTAACCCAATAGAATCTTGTATGTTCTAACTCATTGAATTCTTCATTCTGATCTAGTTTAGTTATTGAGCCAATTGAAAAAGGGTTTTACTTACATATCCTCCAACTCCTTAGTCACCAAAATCTATCAATCCTACTTCGAGCCCTACTGTTAGATCAAGTAAACCTCTCATTCATCAAGCGGGATCTACCAGACAACAACCCTCAATGGACTCATTAAAAAATTTCATAGATCTTGTGATCCTTCCTCACAAGGCCTTCTCCAAAGAATATCGAGAACATTAAATTCCCTGCCACGCACCAACAAGGCCTGAAAAAGCCAGAAAAAATCACCCAGCTCCTCCCAAATTCTCTCCTACCTCTAGTCCTAGGGGCATTATAAACTCCAAAGATCCACAACACTAATGCATCGAAAGAACGAATTAACAACGAGACTGAAAACCTGCTTTTAACCACCTTCGAAATGGACATGGAACGACTGTTCCAAAGATTTATGGGACTAGCTCCACTGTCAGACCCATTCTCTGCAGATGATTTTCCCCTCTTATATTCTTTCTCTTCCATTCTTCCAATTTAAGTTTATGTTCAGCAACAAAACTCGTGCATGAGATCAATAAATAAATAAACAAACAAATTTACCGATATTTTTTTTTAATTAAATGAATAAATAAAATCATTTATGTAAATAAATATTAAAATTAAAATTGTCAACTGAAAACCCCTTCAATTGAAAAAAAAAAAAAAAAAAAAAATCGAATCTGATGAAGTTTGTCTTAGATTCTCTATGTCTTCGAAGGATTCTAGAAAAAGTTGAAATGGTATGAAAGAAGCACAATTCAGTCCAAAATAAGAAAGAGAGTGAGAATGGGAAGAAGAAGAGATGAGATCCTAAAAATGGATGAAGAGGGACGTGACTGAAATCAACATACAAAATTATGGAGGCAAGTCAATTTTACAAAATTCACCTTTGAGAGTGCCATCTTAAATGAAGATAATGAAGATGGTGATAATTGCAGCTTGTATTGACAGAAATCGGAACGATAATGGCGGATATGAAAAAATGGAAGTTCACATTTGCGATTACCCTTATCGATCGTTTCTCAACAACCAAAAATTAAGGTAATTGAATAATTATCGGAAACGGGTGCGAATTTAGAAAGAAAAAAGAGAGGTGGCAGTACGTACCTGAATTTCGACGTCCTCGTGAAAACCGTCAGGCGGAGAAGAAGTCTCGTTGGGATCGGCTGTGCGGTCAGCCGATGAAGAAGATGATTGGGGAGGGTAGCAGGAAGCAGAGTCTGGAGATAGGTCCATTGGGAGCTTGTCTCGAGGTTGAGGCAGTTCAATCGGCTCAGCCGCCGCCGCTGCCATAGCAGAGAGGTGCCGGTAGAAGGAGAGTTGGAGAGTTTGAAGATGCAGTGGTCGTTGGGTCCGGCCTTCAATTTGGTAAACGGACAAAATAAAAAGACGACGACGAAGAAAGCGTCGGTTGAATCTTGTAACTTGTAGTTGAAAGTGAACCTCCGCCTTCTTTGCCTTCTTCTCTGTTTTTTTGTTTTTTTTTTTTTTTAATTAAAAAAAAACAATTTTCATTCTTCCAAATTTATTAAAAGAAAAATTGCAAAAAATAATAATAATAATAATAATAAATACGCGTCAACTATTTTTTTATTTTTTTATTTTTTTTATTATTATTATTAAATGTTACATAAATAGTTAATAAGGTCTAAATTAATTAAGAAATGTGTGATTATGGAGGTAAGTGAAAAAGTATCTCTCTTGTCAATAATATATATTTTTAAATAATTTGAATTTGATGCTAATAAATTTATCATTTGATTGCGGTGTCAATTCCTCAACGTTAACTTGACTGCAAACAGAATTAGAACAAATTTTAAGCTTCCAAGTTTATTCCGAGAGAACTTAAGAAAATTCAAATTTTGTCCCTAAATTACATTTTTTAATAAATTATAGAATTTGACGATAATTTATACGTCAGAGATTTAAAAGATAAGATCAGACAAGACAGAATCTAGTAAATTTATTTTTTAAATAAACCGTAAAAGTTGTCAGAAAATCTTAATCTCGATCAGATTAAAGCAGTTTTGGTATTTACTTCGTTAATGTAGTTTTTGTTGTCGTCTTTGTCCTTTAATAATTTAATGTTTTTCTAAATTATTAAATCCGACCAAATTGACCACTTGCACATGGATAATTTTTTTTATTTTTTTTATTTTATATATATATATATATATTCAAACCATTTAATTTTGGGAAATCATACCATTAAACCATTTATTTTAACAATATCTAGAAAATTTTGAAGATCGCTTGAAATATTGATTTATATTAAATGCGAATATATATATATATATATATATAATTGACTCATTCATGATTTTGTTAAAAAAAAATTGAATGGAGTGCAAAACGTCCACATATATATAAAAAAAAGTTTGTGGTTGTTTGTTTGAAATTAGATCCTTGATCCTTTAAAGACTGCATCAGTCTCTTTGCAATGATTTAGTAACTTCGAGTTCATGTGCATCGTTCTTGATAGAGTTTGAGACTATTCAAAATCTTTAATATAAAGAAGATTAATCGCATATTTTTTGTTCTTGTAGATTGGCATTATGCTCACCTTATTGTCTCAATCACCAACTAAATTGAACGTAGAGATTGATAAAGCAGAAGGCAAAGAGGTTGTTAATTCACATGTAGATGCAGCTACGGGAGTGCCAAGCAGTAGTTTCAGATAGAACATGTTGCTCTGAAAATATTAGGAATCACGAATCTCACAATTGTACGATATTTGTCCATTTTGAGCATAAAACTCTCATGGCTTTACTTTTGGTTTTCCGAAAATACCTCATATTAATAAAGATGTATTCCTTACTCGTAAACCCATAATCATCCTCTTAATTAGCTAATGTGGGACTCCCTCCCAACAATCCTTCTCTCGAATAAAATACATCATAGACCTTGAACAACCTCCCCTTAATCGTGGCTCGACTTCTTTCTCTTGAGCTCTCGAACAAAGTACACTCTTTGTTTGACACTTGAGTCACTTTTTAACTACACCTTCAAGTCTCACAACTTTTTTGTTCGACACTTAGGATTCTATTGATATGACTAAGTTGAGGGCATGATTTTGATACCATGTTAGAAATCACGAACCTCCATAATAGTATGATATTGTCCACTTTAAGCATAAACTCTCATAGCTTTACTTTTAGTTTCCTCAAAATGTCTCATACCAATAGAGATGTATTTTTTACTCATAAACCCATAATTATTCTCTTAATTAGCTAACATGGGACTCTCTCCCACTACAAAGGTGAGCTCAAAGGCACACTGGTAGTATCATAATTAGCACACGGAGGAGTAGATAGAAAAAAGCATCCCACCAAAATTTAAGTGGCATGGAAGCCATATAAGAATCGTCTCGAGAATTTTGTATCATTTTCATACCATTTTCAACAAAGAAATGTTAGAGCCAAAATTGGCAAGTTTCGGGAAGATCCCGTGGGGTGGTGTACTGTTGTCATGTATAGTGAGTCCAACTATAACAACTACAACGTTCAGATGCGAGCTTTGCTACACCTTATTATCTAGTTTTACTCCTTTGTTCGACACTTGATTCACTTTTGATTACACATTCGAGACTCACAACTTCTTTGTTCGATAATTGAAGATTCTATTGACATAACTAATTTAAAGACATGACTTTGATATCATGTTAGAAATTACGACCCTCTATTATGATATGATATTGTCCACTTCGAGTATAAGCTCTCGTAACTTTACTTTTAGCTTTTTCAAACAACCTCCTACCAATAAAGATATATTCGTTACTTACAAATCCATAATCAATCTCTTAATTAGCCAATGTTACATGGAACTCCTCTCTCAATAATCCTCACCACAACATACCCATCTTATTACAATTGTTTCCATTATTTCCATTCCAGCGTCCATGCCCACGGTTTCGTCCACAACAGTTGCCGCTTCTCTCATTACTTCCATTGAACTGCCGTTGATTTCCTTGGTTGCCGGAGTTGTTTTCTTTTATTACTATTATTAGTTCCTGAAGACTGAGTATTAGCTCCCCCAACTCTTCTATGAATTTTGAAAAAATCCAGGCGTTTCTCGAAGGATCTAGCTCATATTTGCAGCCCAGCCCAGCCCAACAATGATGTTGACAGTCGATGTAGTCGATTTTGCCTCTATTCTCATGCAATCCGTTGGGTCTTGGATGGGTCAAGACGACTGGGTTTGATAGTGGGAGAGTTTCTGGAATTGGGTTGGGTTGCGTTGGTTCGTATCCTTTTCTAAGCCCAGAGCAGGCTTTCATTACTACTGGCAGGTGCTTGCTGACAAGCCCACCAAGCAACCCAAATGAAAAAGGCAGAGCACAAGTAGGATAGCGAAGTTAGAAATTTGGAAGAACGCAGAAGACAGCAGCTGAAAAAGCATCTAGCAGTGGACCAGACCATACCAGACCAGACCAGACCATACCAGAGAGGGAGTGAGAAAAAGAAATATGAAAGAACCCAACTTTAAATACCTTCTTTCTTCTTTTCCTAATTCCAATAACCCAAATCCCAAACTTTCAACCCCCAATTTCCTAACCTTTTCAAAAAAGCAAAAGAACCAACAACAGCAACCCAGTTGGCCCCACACAGTACACAAAAAGAATACAAATTTTAAATCCTCTCTCTCTTTATTTTCCTTTTATATTCCCCTCACTGGCGTGGCTTATGATATGAGTAGTTTAAATATTAACAACCTAATCATTTTAATCACCAAGTGTTTTGCTTTCCTAGGAATTACACCTCTCACATGCCATCTTGATTGGACACCATGAAAGGTATATTCCAGTTGATTAATCCATGGCTCTACAACTAAACTAGAAAACAAGGAAGGATTGTGGTGAGTAGCAGTGGCTGGGCAGGGCTGGAGGTGGGGGAGTCAAAATGACAAAAGTTTGATACCCACTGGGGGAGGAGTGGCCGCTTTGACCAAATGCTTCCAACTTACTTTTTTGATGTGTTTTGATTATTAATACGCAGAAATCAAGTATTTGGTTGAAACATTTATTCAATGCTGTGCGATTCCCAATGAAACTAGAATCTTCTCTCCTTCTCCTTTGTATTGGCGTTGCTGGTTTAAGGTCCTCTTTTCACATGCCCGCTTTGTATGGTTCAACTTCATTTCCATTTCCATTTCCTGTACCACTCATCATTATTGCTCCCTCATCTTACTTTCCTTTTCCTCTTTTCTAATATCTTATGTCACATGCTAACAATTTTCACCCTACATAAATAAAGAGACCCATGTTGTGCGATTCCACGTTTATTAGAGAGGAGAACAAAACACTCTTTCATACAGACGTAAAAACTTCTTTTTAACAAACGCGTTTTAAAAATCTTAAGTGAAAAATTAGAAAATGAAAGTTCAAAAGGAACAATATCGCCGGTGATGACTTACATCCTAAGATGTTTCCTTTAAAATATGGCAAAATCCGGTTTAGAAAAGCCCATTTTCTGCTTGATCTCAGCAAGTTCTTAATGCTTTGGCGACTGTGACAGAACAGTGTATGGGGTTTCATCCTATTTAGACACAAAAGCATGAAGAATGCTTTGGCGACTGTGACAGAACAGTGTATGGGGTTTCATCCTATTTAGACACAAAAGCATGAAGGAAAGGGACAAGATTTTATATAATTCAATGGCATATACCTTGTAATAACAACAAATTTTGTTGGGTAGCTCTCAGTTGATTAAGATGTGGTGATTGATTATTGAAGGAAAGGTAAAATTGTTAAGTCTTACTCAACTGGTGTGGCAGTGGGCAGTTCGCCAGTCCCTTAAAACTAAGCCTCCTTGACGCTTTTACTCACTGCCACTGTCCTGAGTGAGTGCCTAGCCCATCCATCCAAAAGCGTAGGCGCAGCGGAGGGAGGCGGAGTGGAGCGTCCCTACATATTTTAAAAGAGGGACAACCGTGGGCTCCACACCTCCCTCCCTTCTCTTTCACAGTCATTTTCTTTCCGCCCAAAGCAAAGCAAAAGTCTTTTCCGGATTCTGCTCTCATTCTTTGTTTTACCATTCCTTCTATTAGCTCCTTCTCCAGATCCCTTCTCTGGGTCACTCACACTTCGCTCCGCCGCACCGTCTCTCTCTGCCTCAACCTTCCAGGACTCTACCGTCGTCGAATTGCACAAACCCTGCATACTGCTCTGCCCTTCTCCTACAATATCGTCTCACCAGGTGGTTTCTGTTTTCTTGCTCATTACCTCTTTCAGATCTCTTTGTTTTCCTTGTTGCGTTGCTTTCAGTTCATTTTAAGTTTGCCCTCGCTTTTCTACTCTCTTTCCGAGCTTGCAATGCCAGGAAACAAAGCATATATTGTAGCAATGTGATTAAAAGGAACCGTTTATAAAACCCTTCTAACTATATCAATGTTGGAGTTTCACTTCTGCTTATTTCCTGAGCTTCCCGTTTTTTGTCTGCATAACCAAGAAATTCGAATT